TCGTGGTGCTAATGGACGCCAACGCACGCACTGGTAGGAGGCGAGACGGGTGTTGCGATGCCAAGATTGTTTGCGCGTGCGGACGCGACATTATGACCAACAACGGGGAACGACTCCATGGACTGGCATCAGACAACCAACTCTTCCTGACCAACACCTACTTCCGGATACCGAAAGGTGGAGTGCAGCACGCATTCCAGAGCTCCAACACGGGGGAGGAGAAGTACCGCCTAGACTTCATCCTCATGCGTCAGACGGACCGGCGTTTCGTGCGTTATGTCTCCGTCAAACGTGTCGAGTTCAAAGACTCTGACCACAACCTAGTGCTTACGACTGTCCGCCTCCCCCCCCGTGTCGCACCCAACCGACGAGTGCGGGGGAACAGTGGAAGCAGCCGGATCCGTGTCGACCTCGAGCGGTTAACGAAGGACAAACACCTACGGGTCGCCTTCCAAAACAGGGCCTCCAGCCGCCCTCCGCCCACGGCGCTCAGGCGGCCAACGGGAGAAACTGCCGCCGAGCTGACGGCTACGGCGATGTCGGCCGCTGCTGAGGCCGCGCCGCTGGCGAGGTGCGCACGAGGGCAGAGAGGCTGGTACACGAGCGAAGTGCAGCACGAGGTCTCCGAAGGGTCTAAAGAGATTACGGCGGCCCAGCAGCAACTGCGTGGGCCCTCACAGAACAGCGCCTGCGAGGCGACCCTGGAGGCGATGCTCAAGGCGGCGCGGAAGAAGCGCAGCATCGCGAGGTGGAGAGCACTGGAAACGTTCTTCGAGGGCTATGTACGGCAGCTCGAGAAGAAGAGCCGCGAGGGGGATCAGGCGGGTTTCTACAGGCACCTGAAGATGATCGACGTCGAAGGTAAGAGGTCGTTCACCTCTCAGAACATCAAGGACGAGGACGGCAAGGTCCTTCGGGACCCCACGTTTATTCGCCAACGGTGGGCACGGTGGTTCCACAAGCTTCTCAACACCAAGTCGCCGACCATCGACCTGCATGCGGCTGACAAGGTCAAGCGGTGGCCCACGTGCGTGCCACTCGACGACATCCCATCTCTCCTTGAGATTGAGGAAGCGGTACGGGCAATGGCCAACAGAAAGGCCGTCGGGCCGGATGACCTTCAGGCTGAGCTGATCAAGCTTTTCCTGGACGGAGATCAAGGTCTCCTCCGCGAATTCCACGCCATTGTCGTGGACGTGTGGCAGACTGGGGACGTACCACAGCAGTGGAAGGATGCCACCATCAAAGTGCTGTTCAAGAAGGGGAACACGATGGAGTGCGATAG